GATAATTTGATCGCTCTGACTTTTTGGACGCAAAGTATTGTCATGACATGCGACACTATTTCATGATTCTGATTATCCCTGTAATGTAAAAAATATATACTTACACTGAAACTGACTCCTGTGATTTGAACCTTAATGGAATTTATCAAACTCCTTTATGATTAAATTCATTACTTGAAATTATGGTTGCAATCATTGTACTCGATAGAAATATATGTTGTGATTGATTGAAAAAATAAAACCACTCTTATCAAGATCCACTAGATAAGATTCAGTTGTTTTTCCGTGTAGACGTAAACATCAAACTCATTTAAGTTACGCAGGTCCCATCACGATGTTGCCTTAAATAATGCATAAATATTATTATTTCACCGACAGCTGGTGTCATCCGAATACAAACCGCACAATTAATAAGCACAAGATAAACAACTATGTAACCACCTATAGCGTTTCATTTAAGGACGACGACGCCCCGTTAAACGAAAATAGAGATCTATAAGCAGAAGTTCCTTTGTCACTCTAAATAAATAAGTACGCCTATCTGCTCAAATTTCCTGTTTATTTCTGTGTCCCCCCCTCCGTCTTGTTTGAGCAGAACCTTTTAGATAAGTGGGCCGATATTTTTAAAGGTTCTTTACCACGATAACTTTATACGTAATGTTAGCATTATTAACATTTATTACATTCAGAAGAAATGTAGTGTTTTAAATTTCGAAAAGATTTTCTACAAAGCTGGATCTATTGAGCAAGCGCCTGTCATGGCCAACATTGGTAAAATCTAGGAACAAATGAAGCGGCAAATCGATCACCAAAATATTATGTAAAGCAATAACAAATGAGATTGTATCGTCGTCAAACTGCGTAACGTAATAGTATCATTAACACAAATGTCAACTTCTTTTGGTTGCTTGTGCAATGAAAATCCGCCACAGGCGCCTGAAAATAAATTCTTCCCAAACAAATTGAAAATTGGTACAGTCACAACGGCAATTTGTTGTAATCCCGCAATGATTCTCTAATGTCCCATTACAACAGGGAAATAGAATTACCCGTGGACCCGTTGTTAATGGGTCAACGAAACGAGCACTGGGGTAAAGGTGTTATTAAGCTAGTTACGGTTTCACATAAGACTCGTATATATCTACCGATGTATTTCGTTACCAATTAATGCCATTGTTGTGTGATATGACGTTTGGCTATAAGGATGGAAGCATATAGGTTGCGTACAGGAAGACACTCAAACTCTCATTACTGGAATATTCCTCGACGAAGTTTGTGGAACTTTTAGACTCGGCTGGTCTGTAATGTTCGTAATTAATTTGCATTTTCAACTGAACTATTTACGAAGACACCGAAAGAGGTCGTGGATGATGCAAAATTAGCGGTATCTTACTGAATTAAAGTGGAATGTCCTACTGTCTCTACTAAAATCTCTCTATAGGAATATTCAAGTTATTGAATATCACTATGTTTAACTACAATGATATTCAATTTTTTTTTTTTAAATTACTCCACTAGTGTCTTATAATTGTTACGAGTAATACAAATAAAAAAGTAAAGAAAAACTTTTATAGATTTCTCACAGATGGCGTTACGGCAAAAAGGTCTTTAAAAACTAATAATCTTGTCTACTCGTATTTGGCAAGTTTTATTGATATCGATAATCGGAAAGTACGCGAAACTGGATTCATCCCCTAGTTTTCTACCCTTAGTGAGGGATTAGGTTTTTCAAATTTAAATGGGACCAATACTGAGGTACCCTCTTTCCAACAAAAAAGAATCACCAAAATCGGTTCACAAATAAAAAAATAAAAAACATGCAGTCGAATTGAGGATCTCCTCCTTTTTTTGAATTCGGTTAAAAACAAAGGTCTAAAACAAGCCATGGATATATTCATAAGGTGTTTGTTCCTTTCGTATCTGGGTTAGGAGAGCGTCAGCCATGCACGGTATGCTGAAAGTGCTGGTTCAAATTCAGCCAGATCGATGGAATTTTTCTTAGTGATTTGGTTTTTTTTTATAATATCAAACCAGAACGCAGTGATGTTCATATTACTGCTTGGCGGCAGATAGGCAAGGTAGCAGTACTTCCCTGGACGATCTCTTTTACAGGAGCTCTACTGCTCTCTATAGGAGTTTATAAACGCTTCTAAATAACATTAAACGTAAAATGCTGATTAGGAATAACGGAAGAAAAGAATGTTGGAACTTGGGATTGTTTTGTTACTCCCTGGAGGGCTTTAGAACCCACAAAATATGTCCTGCTGACAAGTCAGACACCGCGGGTTACACTGCGAGTTACCAGCATTTACGTTTCTCAAAATAACAAACTAATTTTGTCTCAGTGCACAGGGAATGATGGTGCAAACGCTCGAGTAACAATTTTCATTTAAATATATTTCTAAATCTTGAAGGAATTCTGAAGGATTCTATAATTTCTTTGTTCTCTCTTACTTGCGAAAGATGCATTGCTTCACGTTCGGAATTAGGTTAACAGATATTTCCATTGTCATATGTCAAACATTCATAAATGTATTGTATACATTGAATGAAATCGACGTACCTTCTTTGTTAATCGCCGTTATACCGGGAAAATAATTATTTCACAAATAATTTACATTGGAATAAAGACAATTGAAATTTAGTCGAGTGGCTCGCACAGTGGTTTTCATGGTGTCGCCGTCTCTGAGGTACCTGGTTCGATTTCTGGTTGGGTGAATGTAGAAACACAAGTGCTTTAAGTTAGTAGTAGTATACTCCTTAGCATTTACTGCGTTCCGATTTCGAACGATAACGGTGCTGGTGAAATTACAGGCACATGGGACTTGTCAACTTATGTCTCAGGGTGACGGGCGCAGACTTTTAAATGTAATTCTTTTATTTTGTGTTTTATCCTAAAGTTATTGTATATTTTTTTATCATCCTGTCATATCATTATCGTTGTCATAAGGTAACCAAATAAACTACTTTTCTTTCTTTCTTAATATTATTAATATTATTTATTAACGATGAATATTTCTTACAAATACCATGGTTATTAACTTATAACAGAAGATTCCACATTTTATATTTTACTGTATCTATATACATTTACGTTTTAAATAAGCAATTGTGTCGCGTTTTCATTGCTTGTATATTGAAAATTCTTAACGATGAGTTTCAATATACAAGGAAACAAGTTCTCCAATATTTAAATTACTTTGTGTATGGTTACGTAAGTCATCCTAAGAAATAAATATCAACTGTTAATATTTTGTGACAAAACGCTATGTAAGAAGAAAACTCTTTGGTAGTTTGTTTTCTATGTCGTCAATTGTTCAGTTAGACTATTCCAAGAAACCATTCTGCTCGTCCCTATTGATAAACTAACTCTACCAGCCCTCGTAGCATGCCGACGTGATAAAACTATTATATCCACTTCCAGCTCTGAAATTCGAGTGATAAAACTGGCATTTTAAAATTTTATCACAATAGCGAAGATGACGACTACCGTGACGTCACTTTTTTATGCACCACTTGTGCCACAACCAATGGCCTCAAATGCATATTGCAGTGCCAAACATGACCGCAACGTCACAGCTGATTTTAAAACATTTTTATTGTTCTGAACGGCAGCTTTATCAACGTAAAAATTGAGCGCGACAAACAAAATAAACAGAAATAATATAACGAAAAGTTCTTATACATTAATTTTAAAAAAAGGTAAGGAAATCATTATTAATACAGCTATACTTGAGAGCAATTTGAAATACGTTAAAAATGACTGAGTTAAAACTTTGTTATAAAAATAATAATAATAATAACTGAAAATTTAATGTAAATTAATTTATGTAAAAACCCGCCATTTTTTGTTTCATATTTTACGACGATGTAATTAAAAGGTTTACAATTTTCGCAACGACGATTAAACGACAAAGATAGCTATATATATTTATACGCAATTTCATATAGTTATCCTTGTTCTTCAAAATGTATAACAATAGTCCATTATCGAATAAACAAAAGAACGAATGACACTAGTGCCGTATCTTATCGATTTAGTATTCGCAATAAAAAATATAAAATTTTAATAAGGGCAACATAGTTTTTTTAGAGTGCGATAAACATGCCACGGGGAGGTTTATCATATATCGCATGCGATGTACCGCCATGCTACGCATGCTGGTCATGTTCTAAGAGATTGAAAAGAATGTCAATTGTTATTATTTCCTCTGTATCAGACATGGTTCATTGTTGCTTCATCAACTTCAGCCGAGAGTTAAGCCTTTCCGTGCTGTATGTTGACACTGACATTAATACAAACAAAGTCGCCATTGTCATAAAAACAATACTTTTATTCGCATAATGTTCGTCATTGATTTTGAATTATTGACACAAGGGACAAGGCCATCGTAGGCTCGGGAATCATCGGTCGTTATATTGACACCATCCAATTTTGATTGTTTTGGCGAAACGCCGGTGCTTTGACAAGTTAAACATTTGGGAGCCAGATTAAACGTGTTATTAAGAATATTAAAGGAAATAATTATCGGCGTAATGAAAGATCTAGGCCGAGACGGCAAATTGGTAATTTTGCGAAAATAATTACGTCCCCTGATTAAGATTATATCAGCGCTTTGTTTGACCCACTTTCAGCGAGTCAATATTTCTTTCCACGTGGGTTTGTATCCAAATCTTATGGGATTTTAGGATTAGTATTGAAGGGATGAATAACGTCCCCTTGAACAAATTGAGTGGAAGAGCGAACGGTAATCCCAGTGAACTACACGGGCCGAGAGATTACATCGATTACTAACTCGCATTGAAGTAAACTAAGTGGGAGTTTAAAGTACGCAACAAATTCTAACCATTTAATGCAATTGCGGCGTCAATTCAGTTTTATTGGCAAATAACCGTTGATCACTGTGCACATATTTAAACGGTATATGACGATTCACAGCGTACGTGTAGCGGAAAACGTAGTAATAATTGTTTAGTGTATTATCATTTTCAGTACTTACCTCTCCAAGATTGACAAAGCCGTGGTCCCTGGCGACCGCGTCAGCTGCTTCTTTCCCTGCTGGCACGTGTACAGCCCATGTCGGCGTGTAGTGGTGCGCACGCGCCGCCTCGAGCACGCAAAGCAGCAAGATGGCCGCCAGCGTGCGCCTCGCCATCGCACTCACACTCACCGGCTAGTACTTGTTAGCATTGCACACTAAAGCGTCAAATTATTATTCACAGACAAGGCAAAGGATGCCCAAGTTTTATCATAAAGTTATCTTCATTACTTGCCAATCACTGGAGGAACCTGCAAATGACCTAAGATAAAATTGTTTTGCCTCCAAAGTGCGTATTGTAGTTTTAGTTTATAGAACGCCGAGGGGAATTACAAACAAATAGTGTTGATAACCCTGAAGTTAACCGATATGAGAGGAAATAATGCATCTATAAAATGTGGAATAAGAAAATACAGACTTAAGCAATGATGAAGTCGTAAAAGTATGTTAATGGTGCAAGTAGCGCTGGATTAGAATAACCATGCGGTGCATTCAGCCGATCGTTTCTATTGTATTGTTATGGTTATTGTGTTGCAAGAAAATTGTTTAGACTTCAAGGCGCTGAATCTCATCGGCAAATGGTCGCAATGTTGGCAACACTTCCCACATTATGTGGGTCAAGTACGCGTCGAGGACATCGTTCGGGAGTATAACGGAGGGTAGTCGGTAACTCTTTATTAGCTACCGTATAACCGGAGGACCATTAATCAAAAAACTCCATCGATACGCGTCAACCTATTTTTATTTTATTTTTTCATTAAAAGCATACTGTACTGTGATACCTGTTCATTTTTCCTTATTGATGGAAATTACTTGCCGCGCGTTCGTTTTCTCAAAGCGTTTGTGTTGAGCAAAATAATGTTTGGCATATTTTCTACTAAAAGTGATGTACACGAAGCTAGAGTACAACGTTTCTTAGTAGACTAGTCTGTGTCGCGTGCACTTGTTTTTGATTTTGAACTGTTTTTAAGCCAATGCTACTGAACTATATATCAGAATTAATTTAAAAAAATGTGTTATGTAGCCATTTTCTTACTGTTTAAGTAAACGATACGAACACAATTCCTCAACAGATCGATAGAGAAATTTGAACTCTATCTTATGCTTATTTAAAATGGATATTTGCCTCCTCGGAAGGCAAAAAAAGGTAGGTAAAAGTGCACTAAGCTAAGCTACTCATTGAGTAAGCTTAGAAATAAGTGTCAAATTTAGGAGTGAGCACTTCAGGCACGTGAAAATTTTAATGCAAAACAAAACAATTTTCATAAAGGAGCTAGTTGATTCAAACGAGGAAGTGTCCTCGGACATGCGATCAACTCGTTCGTTCGATGGCGAGTTCGCGTGAGTTTTGAGCTGAGACACGTATTCCAAAACCCTTTTTCGGTCGAGGATATGTCCCTAATTTGTTCGTTGTTTGTCTTTTGCTTTATCCCCACTCAAAAGCTTAATTTAAATTAGGTACGGTAAAGACATCAGCAGCGGTATCAATAAAGCGAAATAAGTATGTTGGTGCAGGGGAAAACGGAACTATTCATCGTTTCTTTGTTTAACAATGATTTCGAATAGTTAACCTCGTTATTTACATTTTAATTAAATTGATTTGACGTTGTTTGTTTTGACGGATTTACTTTTAAATGTTATTTATGGCATAAATTATTTATTAATAAGTTTACGTTATAGTCATAACTCGATATAGGATATTATTAAGGTACGTTGGAATGAAAAAAAAAACTGTCGAGTCCTAATTGCTATAAAAATCCTGCAAATTCTTATACAGGTACTGCAAGCTATAATGTAAAAAAATACCACTTTAAAAGAATAATGAAACGTGTTTTAATTATTAAATTACTTTACGATTTAAATCCGGAAAAATAGTTTAATTTCCTATATTAAATTACTATTAGAATTTAATTATCGGAACTGTTGAACCTAAACAAACGTACCTAATTGATATCAAAAGTAACATGCGCTGATGTCAAATTATATGACAATTCTTATGTTTATTTGTAAATATTTTTTTATTTATTATTTCTCCGAAATGTTCTTTTCTAATGCTGTCATTTTGTTTTGTGCGGCCTGTAATGTTCAGTTTGACACTTAACATTCAATACAAAAATTAACTTTATGTCACTTGCAATAACAACGGTCCAACATCCTCAGAGTGTTTTATTGCGTGTACCTACTGTATATAGATTGTTTCAATTTTGTATAAAGAAATCATTTAAATAATGTCTAAGACATGTTTACTCATCGTCTGATCTACTTAAATCAACACAGAACAAACGGGTTTATACAATTTGTTGTTGCCCTTAATTGTTTTTGTTTGTTTACTACCTATGTTTGTCGCGATTGTTTTTCGATTAGGTATGCAAGTATGATGCAAGATTTCTAATAGCTAATAGATAATAATAGTTTTTCAAATATTTACTCACTTGAACGTATTAGTATGTACTAGTATAAGATCGCTAGAGTATATCAATTTCATATTAGGAAGATTATAACAGTGATACGTATTTTTTTAAAAGTCATGCAATTGTTTATTGCATTCTAAGTATTGCAAATAGTTTCAAAAAATTCGACATGAATTCTCGAGTGGGCGATAAGTATGACTTTGACTGACAATTTTAATAATAATTTAGTAGAAAACACTTCGACGACTTGACAAAAGACAATAATCGGAAACTTAAATTCAGGTAATCTTATCTGTTTCCCTTTGGAGCAATGTAAACAGTGGCCAGTACGAGTGTTTCGCGTGCGGCCCACGTCAAGAGGCGGATGTTTCATCGATGGAATTCGATGGGAAGGACCAAGATTCCGTGGCACTTAGACAATAGTAGCCGGTGAGAGTCGGCGCCGCTGTGACGAGCGTTCACCTCTCGCATCCCGCTTAGCGAATTATAAAATTCTCTTATTCCACGTTGTATAAAGGCTAGAACCTTACACTATATATCGGCAGGAACACACACTATGTGTCACAGCGATGCACTAATGTCATTATTGAGCACGGCACGAGTGTCAAGTGGCGCGTGAATATCGCAACGGAGCAACAAAAGACACACCCGTCACGTCCGCGCACGTGATGCTGACTGACTGGCTCTCATTCGTTCGTTCGTTTCGTTCGTCGGCCAGCCAGTTGCTCTCGCCAACCGGAGCGCGACTGGAGCAGACAGACTGTGTTGCTAGCTACGAATGCTCTGGCATCGTGTAGGGAAATTGTACATACCTATTCGGTTGGATAGACAGGTGTTTTCGAATTCCGTGTCAATATTAAATACACTTGCATAGGGAATATCTATCTGTGTACGTAAAACACTTTTGCCCGACACCCATTATTTATGCTTACAAATTCAGAATTTCGATTTATCGATAACTAGGTCAATAAACTAGAACGATTATTTGTGCGTTGAACGAAATAAGTGTAATGAATAATTTTGTTTGCACTTAACAAAAAAACAGATATTGTTTCTAAGGACAGTAAATGCATAAGTTATATTGTTTATAAGCAATGGAAAAAGGTGTTGCAACATAGATACATGTATAGATATAGCTACAAAGAGCGACATCGAGTTGTTAAAACCTGCAAATATTAATTAATTACTTTTTTCGATAAAGAAATTCCTCTCTTTATTCTATTTATGAAGATAAATAGCCGTACATGAGAAGGCCATCAAAAATGGCACATTTTCGTCTTGTTTAAACGTTCACCAGTTGTTTTTTATATAAAAGGCATTAAAATAATAAAGTGTGAACATTTTCCTTTTAAAATACGATGTTTCTGCTAGTGGTTCGAATTTATTAACATCTATTATACTGTTTTTTTTTTTAATAAAATATTTTTGAGCGCGATCACAGCGATTCTTATGCAAGTTAAAATTTCCTAAAATTCCCCTTGTAAATAAAATTGTAAATTAATTTTATTCCTAAGTTTAGTAGCAAATATCGCCGTTCCGTCAATGTGACCCTCAATATGCGGTGTCTAAAGCTAGAGAGGGACGGAAAGGACCATTCGCGTTACTTTTTATTCTCTGTTTTGGTAAAAGATCAGTTATCTACTGCATTTTTTACATGGCACCATTAGGATTACTTTAAAATCCAACTTCGACTTCCTAGCTTAGTAATTTTATCCTACGATGTAGTAAAACTATTTCAGGAAATCCGGAACTCGAAAACAGTAATTAATTAACATTCTTGGTTTTAACAACTCTATGTCGCTCCTTGTGACTATATATGTATATACAGGTATCTATATATGTGGAACACCTTTTTCCGACCATTGGTGTAAGTTAGTTTTTTACATCAATGTACACTTACAAAGAAAAAGATTTCCATCAACGTAAAATTTGCATATGTATATCCGTAACGTCATGCAATGTAGTGTGTGTAAACGTTTACTAAATTTTGTTTTTGTTCGGTATTGTACTATAATGCGTTGTAGAGAATTTTCCTTTTCGCTTTTGTACATTTGCACATATTGCAAAATAATAGTTTTATGTTTACTCGCAGACTACAAAAACCGATGACTTTCTAGAATAGAGACGGTTTAAAAAACTAAGACGTGCCTGCCGCGCAAAATTGACATTATTGTAGAATACTACTAACTTTGTCATGGGATTATCTAAACCAGTGAAAAGCTTGGTGTCTCATTTATAATCAAATTTAGCATTTTCTCATTGACTTACAAATAAATGGACGACGGGTCTAATACAAAAACCACGAAAAAAATGTCCCAAGTCAACCTATTCGAAATTTAAATTGTTATGTCATCGCAGTATCGCGCTGTCCGTAGAACAAATGAAGACTAAAGCGGAGTGTCGCGCTCTGTATACGATTTTAGCGCCTTACAAGTGCGGACACTTTTTAGCGCGGACCCGACGTCCATATAATTGTAAGTCAATGCATTTTCTGGACAAATTTCAATAATAATTCAAAAAAGGAATTATTTTGTACCACTATTCTTAAAAACATCGAATCAATTAATTTTCTTCTTTTTATTACGTATGCGTATAATACTCTCTTCTAAACAAAGTATATTTATCAAGTTGTGAACCACGGTAATATCCAGCCGTGACGATTACCTTGATGGACTGCCATGCAGAGGTCACGGATTCGATTCCCGGGCCGGGAGAAATATTTGTATAGCCTATTTATTTCTCTCGTGAGTTTGGGTGTGATTTGTGGTTGTCTATATGTGTATCCATGGCACCCGCGACACAGGGTATTCACATTTCCATATATAGGTGTAAGAAAAAAGTGCAACCATCGTATGATGACGCATTTCAGCCGAAAAAAGTCCACTGATAGACTTAAGTCACCCCAGAGATCGCCAAATAACATCTCAACCAGCGGAATCCCGCGATCGTGATCAAGTTGTCTCGGTCCACGAGTCTGCCTACTTTTACAGATTCTAAACTACTTATAATTTCGATACCTCTTAACGAACACTACGCTACCTGTAAGTTTCTGTTACTTTTGTAAACAGCCATATTTATTTACTAACATTATGCTCCCCGAATTTTATGAAAAAAGAGACAAAAAACAAAATTCGAAAAAAAGACAAGAAAACGAATTTTGTAAAAAAAAAAAACAAAATATAAATAGAAAGTACAAAAATTAAGTTGGCGTAAAAAAAGACGCTCCTTGTGTCGTATTGACTATTGGTAAAGTACTTGTAGACAATATTAAACTCAACATAACGATGCGTTTATCAATAAATTAACCTACTTTATTTTTATAACAATGTCAACAAGAATATAACTAGAAACAATCAACAATATAAACATTGTGTATATTAAAGATCACACGGAACATTTTTATCGTTGCTATTTATTTCACAGCGCCATAGCCCTTATAGGTCCATCTAAACAAGAGGCTCCCTAACTTTATTATCTGGTAGACAATGTGCTACATTCTTTCCTCTTAAACTTTAAATGTATCTTTGACAGCTGCCACAGTGAGAAATTTTATATAAAAAAAAAACAAATTGATGTTTAGTTTTACACATTTATCTAACCGAACGCTTTGTTTGTTGTGAAATGTTTAAGGATTTATTATACATATAATTTATATGCCTATTCTAAAACAACCTGTGTAATGTGGTTAAATCCATTTAAGAAAAGTCAAAATTTTGGTAACTACCTGCTTAAATGGGTTCCACTCTCGTGGACCGCCATTTAAATAATTTAAACCATTTATATACCACACACAATAATACAAAACAGAACATATACCAATATCATCAAACAAACAACAGTGCGTTTTCAGAACAGGCTTAGAATCCTTGTCTTGCCTGGCCTTGTTAATTATATTATTGTCTCGTGCACCCTCTATTTTTCTTTTTCGCCGACATGGACCCCCTCGTAGATTTTAGTAGACCCCTGGGGATCGATGTAGAACACTTTGGGAATCATTGGTCTAGTCTAGACCCCGACTATGTTCTACATAACTTTATGAGCACTGCGTTTTGTCTGTAAGGCTGCTAACAGATGGACTGCTGCATGCTTGCAATCGTCATCAACTGTATGCATTCAAGATTCCAAAGTTACTCTCGTTGTTGTTGAGGTGTGAACGATAGTTTGAAAATCACAAGCAGTAATTAACATTCTTAAGACGAAAACTTTTTATTGTCTCTAAAACAACTTGTTTTTTGTAATGATGTCTTGAGGGCTTAATCAACATAACGGTAAAACAAAAACACGATTGGTGAAATTTTTCTCGACGGCTCACTGTTACATAATTCTTAAAAAAAATCATTGCAAAATGGCACCTTTGTTTAAATTTTTGATCGCAAATTCCCTGCAGAGTACAGTTGGGATTTACGGATATGAGTATGTAGATAAATTAAATTGGAGGATTTCGATAATAGTGACATGTTTATTTCCTTAATAAGAAATAAAGTCAGCATTTGAAATTATAAATGTTTTGAATACAGTGACAACCTACAATTAATGTCTGTGCCTTCATTTCGATATCAACTTTAACACAGCATGCAGTCGGTTTTAAGTACATGCAATTGTGTATGTCTACTTCGCGTCTACAGTCCTTCTGGTAGCAGCCTCATTGCTTGAATGGTAAATAAAAGTATGGCCTGTGCGATAGCTTGAGACCGAAAATCTAACGCCGGCGACAAGTTCGGGAGAATCAAACCTATTTCGAATGCCTAATGCTATAATATAGTAAAAGTATATCACTTAAAAGCTTTCTATCGTAAAAGAGGTCGTCCAGAGAGATACTGCCACCTTCCCTATTTCTGCCGCTAAGTAGTAATGTCAGCATAACTGTGTTCCGGTTTTGAAGGGTAAGGGTGCTGGTGATATTACAGGTACATGGGACTTGTTAACGTATGTCTCAGAGTGACTGGCGCAGTGGCACCGCAACTGTTATGGACAGGCGTGTCGCTTACTACCAGGGGCACGACTTGTTCGTACCGTCACTTGGTATTATAAACAAAAATACACACACATAGACAACCAGAAACTCAAACTCACGAGAGAAATAAATGTAGTCATAGAAATATTTCTCCCGGCCCGGAATCGAACCTGGGAACTCTGCGTGGCAGTCCAGCATGGTAACCGTTCGGCCATCAAAGCAGTTTAAATAGCAAATTTTAACGCTGTTGAAATTATGTAAGGTAGGCACCCCGTACATACATTGACCATGCAAAATTAGCAAGGTTAATTAATTTGTTTTATCGCGGATTAAACTTGTTTAATGTTTAATCTATGATCAACAACAGACTCTTCTATATAATATTCTGTATAATATTACGATCGATGTAATACAAGATAACGTTGTGTATTATACATTTATATAATATATTATTTTGCTAAAGTTGTTCATTATTATTAGTATGATACACTGCAGTCTTTTCCAATACACCCTGTATAATACAACCGTCCATATACCTAATGCAACGTTGGGTATCATACATCGATATGTATAATATATAACATTGTTTCGTATCGTCTTTCACATTTAATTGTATATTTCCATTTGTTTTCTTGTTTCGCTGGCGCGTATCTTATACGAAAAAAGGCGAGGCCAGATTCCTGTCGGTTTGATTTGTGTAATAAGATACTTCTCGCTCACATTTTCCCGCGAAAATGGGAATTCGCGACT